TTTACAATTCGACCCCTGATTTTAAATCTAAATTTCATCTAGAGTATAGATCTAAAAAGAGACTAAAAGGGGTTCTCATTGAGATTCTACCGGACCAACACCCTATTTACACAAACCAACAACGTGAAGTCCAACTTTAAAGTTAGATTAAAAGCCGCCAGCTGCTTTCACCGGACACGGCTATTTAAAGTTCGTAGCAGCTCCTTATTGGAAAGACGTCAAACGCTCCGAGTCGCGTGTTTCTTGTTGTCCCCTCATTCCTTCTCCAGTTTAAAACTCCAAGAGACCGGCAAACGCGCAGTCTGCAAAGTTTTGGCCGGCCGTCGCAGGATAGATATAAAAGTAAAAAGTGGGGGTGAACTTTGATATTGCAACGATCGGTATATAAATGATCACCTCGCTAATCGTAATTAGACGCCAGTGACCACACGGTATGTAATTACGGTTGCCGATGTTAGCTCGGTCGAAAAATTTGTATCCATTAAAAGTTTCATTCGTGGTAATATTTCAAATGGTAAAGGTAAACCTAGTGAGGGTCGTTTTATTGATAAAAAAGATAATGTTTGATAATGATCGCGTCAGGGCCGTGGTAACAAGCTGAAAATACCTAGGTGTAGACTAACTAAGAGCAGGAAATCGTCTCTTGGTAGATGTAATAACTTATATAATAAAATAGGTGGCATCAACCAACAATTACATATAAATAATTTCAAACATCTTGTAAAAGCTACCTTAATGGAAAGGGCCTAATATAATGTCGAGGAATACATTGAGGACAAGGATGTGTGGAAATGACTCTTGCTCTGTGTGCTCTGCACTTGCAAGTCCCCTGGCTCCTGCTAATATTATACTTAAATACATTTGTGTATATAATTAGATAATTCAAAGAATAAAAGATAAGACCGCAGTTTCTTGCCGGTTCTTCGCTGGACAGTTCTAGTTTAGTGAACCGGTGGTACAGCAATTTTTACTTTGGCTTTGATGACGAAGGAGATACAAATTGTCTTCACATTTTTTATGAAACGTCATAGCTATGTATATATTAACAGTTATATATATTAACAATAACAATTGAGTATATATATATATAACAGTAAGTATATATTAACAATAACAATTCAAACAGTTGACACAAATGTGCGATTCTATGTAAGTTACAAAAAAACTTGTAAAAATTATCTCAGATCGCGGTCTACTAGGTTATCACTCCCTACACTTGTTAACCGACTTCAAAAGGAGGAGGTTCTAAATTCGACTATATTATTTTTTCCTCGCAACTTTTCACTGAGTGAATGGATTTTGATGATTCTTTGAAAGCTGGTGCTTCCCACGTGGTCCCATATTAATTTCATTGATATTGGATCTTGGGCTCCGGAGCTACTCAGGGAACTCCTGAAAATCAGTCATAAAATGATTACAGAGCGAGATATTTGAAGTCGATTTTGTTTTTCGTTAGTAAAAAATGGTTATTTTTTTCATATTCATACACAACGTTATCTAATACCAAAGTAATCAAAGCTTGTTCTATGGATACTGGATACGGAGAAATGGATACCGGGCAACTAATAAACGTAAGTGTGTTAAATATATATATTTACGATAAAGAGATCATTTAAATAAACGTACTCTTTATTATAAATAAATATTTTCATATAAGTTTATGTTCACCGGGGATATTTTACCAGCAATGGGGAACGAAACCTCTCCTTATGGCACAAAAGACTGCTTCCCTATCCACTAAGCTCAACGGGTGTTATTATTTAGAGTTTATTACTTATCGATTTTTAAAGTTTTATATAAATTTGTAAAGTAATTAAGACCCTTACAAACACGAAATGTCCGTTGAATACATTAATAGGGAGTTATTAAATTTGATTAAGGTTCTTTAGAACTTAATTGACAGCGTCAAATTGCGTTTAACTCAATAAGCAGCCCGCTTCGGATTTATGCGAAGGGAAAGTTTGTCTTCTAAAATTCTGTAGTGTCCAGTATCGAACAAATCTACGTAGTAAAGGACTGTGTGCATAGGTGGATGTTTCAGTGGTGACCTTGTCAACCATTATTGAATTGTCAATCACCGTAGGCTTGATTTTCATAAGGGAAAAATCTGCGCGGATTCAACAACTGGGCCGAACTCTTAAATTTCACTTGCAATCTTTCTCGTGATATTCCCCGCGACACGTTATTACTTCCTTGAAAGAAGTCTATGGATAAAAGTTAGCGTGAATATGTTTTATCTATTAATTAAATTAATTAATTACGTGTTATCTATTAATTAAATTGTTTTATGTTTAATACAGACACCAACTTTCCGTTTTTATGTTTTCCAATCGTAAAAATGTCTACCTCATATTTATACCTTTATGTCACAACAGAATTACTATATTAAAAGATGTTGGATCATCGTCCGGGAGTTAGTTGCAGTTAGCATCGTGTTATAGTTTTCTTGAAATATTAATTGTCTTATAAATTTCTAACTATGGGACAAAGCGCTAACGTTTCAAAAGGACACTTAAATTATTGATCTATTATTATATAAGATACAAGTACCTATTTTTTTAATTTATTTGTGTAAGAAATACAGTTTACAAATGTAGTATATTAAAATGCACTTTTCGTACACTTTTAAGAATTTATTCGTACACTTTTAAGAATTCCCTTGTCATTGGTACTAATTCCTTTGGAAGAAAACCGGTCAAGTGTGAATTGGACTCATGCGCCGAGGGTACGGAACCCACCCACAATACCACCATAATAATATTGGTATAATTTTTAGGTGTTGTATTTTTTGGAATTTTTCCTTTATTTGGGCTGTAAGACCTTGCTTGCATCTGCAACCCTATGGGTGTTGCATATGTCCATGGGCGGCGGTTGTCAGCTTAACATACCAGCTCGCTTGCCATCTTCTTACATAAAAATATAGAGCAAGCCTCTCGACTCCATCAACTACCGCCAGCTCACTATTAATAAACTAATGAAGTCCAAATGGACCTTAAATTACAGACACTCTTTATGTGGCGCTGGATTGTTGTTAGTAAATCAATTAAATTTATTACGCTCTTTAAGACGTGATAAGGTTGTTTGTTACCTTTAATTTATTTCTTTTGCCATTATCGATAAGAAAAGGCAAAAAATCTTGTCTGTTGTATAGGACCCCGACTTAAATTTTGTTTATTCTGTTTTTAGTATTTGTTGTTATAGCGGCAACAGAAATATATCATCTGTAAAAATTTCAACTGTGACCTGATGACACACGGACAGACAGCGGAGTTTTAGTAACATGGTCCCATTTTACCCTTTGGTTACGGAACCCTAAAAACACTCCCACAGTACTGCCAATAATTAAAAAAACCAAACGTGCGTTTTTTTAAAACTTTATTGTGGCGGAAGTGATGAGTGACACTAATAACTTACCATAAGCCTTCTAGCCGTTTCCGTATTTCTTTCTGTTCCTTAAAAAGTTCAAATGAGGTCGATTCCCAATATGATTTTTTTATGAAGCCATTATCATTATATTTACTACTAGCTTCTGCCCGCGACTACGTCTGCGTAGAATAGGCTGAAGGCGTAACATTCAGACAGAAAGACAGACTTACATAAAAATATGTATATAAATTATAGCCAATGTCTTATTCCGTTTCATTAAACTCCATTCAGTAGTATTCGCTTGAAAGAGTAACAAACATCCATCCATACATACAAACTTTTGCGTTTATAATATTAGTAAGAATAGTTTATTGATAAGTGATGGTTCACCGATCATAGGCAAACGCTTGACGCTATCAAGTTATCAAAAACAGGATATGGAAATTGTTCATTTAGGACACAACCGAAATATAGCTTCGACTGTTTGACGCGTCCGCAATAAAGCCGAACCATGCAGGGCCCGCGAATGGACTTTTTAATTGCATTTCAACGTCCACTCTATACGGGATCCATTTTGTTTTGATGAACAAAGGCCGCGCTCGTCGAAATTTCATTCGTTGTCGTTTCTTTACGCTGCGCAAGCAAAATTGTACTTGGCGCTGGTTAATAAACGCCGTTGTCTTCACATCGTGTCTGGTAAGTTATGTAGTCTGAGCTTATTGTAAGTAAAAGCTTATGAAACGTATGATGTATTGTATGGAGTTTGATGTAGTTTGCAACTAAAGTATACATACTGGCAACTCATCTGCAACCTTTTAGGTGCTCGTAGATGTCAGTTGATAATATTATTTTTTTTTATTTTCTAACGGTATTCATTGTTATTATTTTTCGTTGTAGATTTTTTCTTATGTTTATTAAATTGTCTTTAGGTTTTACTTTTCTATTTCACATAACTTTTATAATTGTATACATGCATTATGTATGTGTACATGATGTGTTCACTGTTAGTGATTTTTTTAGTACATTTTTTTGTCTTATTTCTATATGAAATGTTCGAGTGCAATGTTATGTTTGCGATCCAAAATAAAAAAAAAAATATTAACCATTTGCCCGATGTTTGCTCATTCTCTCTTGAAATTGAATTACCATGGAGGGCCAAACAGCGTCGTCTATTGTTCAATAAATGACCCGGTTAAACTGTGAAAAAAACCACATTCCCCCCATCACTAAAACATGTAAATAAATGAATTCAAAAATTTGTAGAAAAATCGAGGCAAACTTTTTAACCGCTGCGTTTAAACCTGCTTCCTCATGGAAACGTGCCACAATTTTTCTAATTTCATCTTTAGTGCAGAGAACAGTACTATAAAAATTAATGTCCTTCAAAATACGTAAATGAATGTTGAGAAGTAATAGGGATTTAGGAATTAAACACTACACACTCTGACGTATAATTTGTATTAAATCAACAATATTCTTAGTCTTTACATTCTTTGGTATATTAATTAGCTCGATTAGGTACATTTAAGTATCAATTTAAATTCTCATTACCTCGCCGCCGACCAGAATTGAATACACCTAATTCATAAATCTATTGCATTAGTAGTTTATACACGGCCCATTCGTCGAGCTTATGTGTTGTGGGCCCAAAGGACAATGTGGAGCAACATCAGGACTTGGCACGTTTGCAGTTTGGCGGCGGAACCTGGCGAGGTCACTGAAAAGAAAAAGCCATTGTGAGAATACTTTTAAATTTATTGTGGCAAATGTTTTCTTAACAATGGAGCAAATGGGTTGCCGGAGTCCATTTCGAGTCATCTCTCATTGTTGCTTATTTTTATGCCGAGGAAAGTACTGGCGTATCGAATCTAAAGTGATCCGATTTGATCTCAATTTGGCGAGGAATTGAACGAAGTAAGGTCTGCATGAAATCGATTATATTAAACGTAGTGTTTATTTAAACATGCTCCAAAATAACGCTAAATTCAGAATAAAATTACACCAGTATATTTAACTGATTTATACTTAACATCCCTATTGAGTTTTTAACCCTTGAAAATTAAAAATAAATTATCAATTATCATTAAGCAGGAGCAAAGAACAGCACTTGCTTTATTCAAGCGGTCAATAATGTTAACTTAGAAAAGAACAGCTCTGACTTCATTCAAGGGATCAGCAATGTTTTCTGTTAACATTTTCGATTGTTTGAATCATTACTTTTTATACATTTTTACTGCGGTAGGGTCACGCAACAGTCACTGTTACACGAATGGGCAGGTCCGTCCGTGGAATTACCAGGAAAAAAAAAGAGGTGGAAGTGTTACACATCTGCGTTTAGTCCGTTATATGAGGTAGCCAGGGCCCAATTAATTAAAAGGTGGCCACGCATCCGCAACCCTACGGGTGTTGCAATTTGTTGTTCCATAGGCGGTGGTTATCATCCAACTCCTCAACTACTTTAATTCTGAGTTTATATATTGTTTTCTTGATTTTACGCGAATATTATACATATTAAATGGTCACGGGACCATGAACGCTGGAAAGGGTTCGAAACGTCGGGAATTTAAATCAAAATAAAAAACGCGATAAAATCCGTAAAGTAGTTTCATTTAATCCGAGTTTATACTTATTATTTGAGTGAGAAAGGAAACAGCTCTGTTGATGCTAGCTGCAACGAAATCGACAAATAATGTTTATTTTTTTTGCAAACATAACACTCGGAGGGTAACTAATAATGACAAGGCTTAGGAATTTATAACGTCGCAATCTCGTCCGTGGGCGTGCTCAGTCGCGTCCGCCACAATTCCAGGAATGTGTCAGTAAAACAACTTTGTTCGTTAACACGTCCGTTGCAATGTTAACATTTTGATTATATTTCGAAAACTTTACATAACATAGTATAGGTGGATAATTAAACAATATAAACTGGTAGAAAATGGTGTCAGCATTGAGTCCGCCTATGTACTATGTTTTGTGCATGAAGTCTAAAAATAAAAAATAAATAAAATAAAAATTAACACAATATTCAGAATATAACATATTATATTATGAATATTTTGTATCTATGTGTATTTATGACTCATTAAAGTTTTGATCCATTTTGTGTTGTTAAAACGTTATATTTTTCTTCTAATATTATTATCATTCTAATATATAGTGTAGTACCTACATAGACGATAGTCTACCGATATTGGTATTTGGTTTCAAATTTAGAATTTAATTTAAAACATTTTTGTGTCTTTTTCAAGCGTTCTAGACTTAAAATACTTTGTAGTATTTGTGCCATTATACAAAGTAGCAGTGCAGTGTATTAAAATCTTCGCCGCAACACTGTACCGTCGTCGAAACTAAATTTATTATCTCCTAACAACGCCCCACTGTTGCCTACGTAGGAAATTGTCTTCGCAAATGAGCCGGGGAGCAATAATTTACTGAACCTCAATGACCTCTTTGGTAGCATGATCTTATTAGCTCAGCTTCCTCTTGGAAGTAGGTACATTTGCCATTCAAGTCTGCGGTCTTTTGATGTTTATGTTTCATAAAAGGAATTTTCTAGCTCGTCTGCGCGGGTACCCCTGCGAGATTATTTACGAAAAAAAAAACATTTAAAATTGTCAATATTAAACTTTTAAATTTAATTTTATATTTAGTTTTTATAGCGTTAAATTCTTCGCTTAAGATGAACCATTAAAGTTTGTGGAAAATTGGAGTAAAAGGATTCTCATTTTAAGCATTGCTTGAAGCATCTATTGTTATGTCATTTACAGCACAGAAACAAATTTCAACGATAATGCGAACGAGAAATGTCGCCTTTTCTGTTTATGACATTTCCGTCGAAGCGGTAATGTGTGGTCGTGTAGGTTAGTGTTAAAGCGTCTGGGTGCGATCCCGGAAGACGTGGGTACGATTGCCGCGGCGGCGAAAGTCTTTTCCTCTATTTTTATACAAATTTTTATATTAAAATGTATCTCAATGATTATCTAAGGTAAGTATTATTATTCTATCACTCTTCACTTAAATTTGATAATAATTAGTAGAAAAATCAGAAAAAACACGGAAAAACTTTCGCATTATTATTAAGTATAAAACAAGTTATTATTGGGTGATACGAGAGTATTACATAGTTTTATGATATCTTCGATAAATATGACAATGACATTTACGGGTAAATAAGTGGACTCGAACGCTTCATTGCGGATGAAATGGAATAAAGGAGGAAAACAATTTTCGCTTCAAATCCAATCATTGAATAAAAGCTGTTTTATTCTCTATCATGTAAATGAAAATATATTTTTTTAGTTTCCTATAATTTTGATTTTCTTGTGATTTCCTTCGATATTTAAGGCCACAAATAATAATCGATTAGGTCTCACCAACATAATTAATAGACATTTGTCTGACAGTTATAAACCAAATATTACAAATAAAATTTGTAAGAAAACTTCGCCTGTAAAAACAAAGAAATTAACGCCCCTAAATTAAAAGGAATGAATTAAGTAATGAAAATATTTGAATCAACTCTAACACCGTTTTTATTTTTTATTTTTACCTAAACCATATTTTTTACAATACTGTATGGTAATCATAATAATATTGCACTGTTATCTATTTTTAAGGTCTGCAACACAGCTTAGTAATAATCGGATGTCTAAAACTGAATGAAAAACGTAATAAAGTTTCGGATTAATATCGACGTGATATATTGTGAATAAAGTATTAGCTAATAATACAATAGCTCTCGTTTCTCGCGCCGTTATTGGCCTAATACAGGGCGACGGCCTAATTAACTGACGATATAACAAGATTTATTAAAGATATTTGCCGAGTGTTAAAGGTGATTAGGGTTATATTCGACCTACCAAAAGGCCGAAAAGCGCATCATCTAAGGATACGATATTGTTATATGAAACATTAGCCAGCGAGCAGGCAGTTCACCTGAAGTGAACAGATTACCGCCACCCATAGATATCCACACTGCCTGACGGTGCCAACCATTAAAAAGTGGGCCCCGGTTACCTCACTCACCGTACAAACGCGAAAGCATATTAGTTTCCTTTCACGCCGGTTTCAAATGCGAAAGTTTAATACCTCCATTTCACAGCAGTCTTCTGCGAGGTCGTGGTACTCCCCCGGACGATCCTGCCCATCCGTGCAACAGCGGAGGCTGTTGCGTGGCTAAAAAGTAAACTATGCAACGGGGCGTGGTAGTTGTTCGGACCCGCCCATTCGTGCAACAGCAGAGGCTGTTGCGTGGCTGAACAGTAAACGATGCAACGGGGCGTGAAAATTGCAAGCTCACCGCGCTCGATCTTCGGATCGCTGTTGGCCGAATACAGGGCGACGGCCGAATTGTCCCTGTAAAGGTCCCCTAGTTTGGCCTCGCAGCGCAGTATCGGGGCGCCGCGCTCGTAATGCGCCGGCCACAGCTGCATCTGGACGTGCTGCTCCGAGCGGAACAGTCCCTCAGGGGCCGGATGAACGTTGTGCAGCCCCGGCGACACCTGATGAGGGAGATCGAAATCAATATCCTGCTTGAACTGTGCAGAAATCTAAACACCAGTCCCTAATTGCACTGCGGAGAAATCGAATATTTTTTTCAATGTTATAAAGTGGCAACACGAGCGGTTCACCTGACGCCACCCAGATGCGTTGCCACGTTTTAATAAAGTAGGCCCCGGCTGCCTCATTCATTAAAATATCTGCTATTATAAGTATTTTAGCTCCTACATTTTTTTTAATAAAGTGGTAATTGTATCTCGTTGAAATACAAAAATTGGATGCGATCTACACGCAAAACGTAAAAGTATATGAATAAATATAACAATATCGTTCTACCTTATATATAAAAATTGATTGCTGTTCTTGGTCTCGCTAAAACTCGAGAACGGCTGGACCGATTTGGCTAATTTTGGTTTTGAAATATTTGTGGCACTCCAGGGAAGGTTTAAACGATGACAAATAATGGAAAAATTGCATGGAAAATCGAAATAGCAACAATTTTATTTTCCCATATAAAACTTCCTACTTCTCAAACATTTTATGCGTGCTCACGTACATAGATTCACAAAATCCCTAGAAATAATTTATATGGCAAAACAACGTTTGCCGGGTCAGCTAGCAGGTACGTAATAATTACCACTTATAAAAAGATTTCCATCTTCACGTCATTTATTATTGAAATATAATTTGGTAATAAGTATCTCAATGCATTATCGTTATAATAGTTAAATAAAGTTTATTTCTTAATGTCGGTAATACATTTAATAAGTAATTTTATGTGAGACGTCTTTGTGTTCGCAAAAAAAAATACGAATCAATTAATTGATAAAATAATTCTCAGTAATTCATATGTATTTTTTACAGTTTAAAAATTTTACTTTAAAAATAAACACAAATGCACCGTTTGAACAAATGGCAACAATAAAAAATTGTTTATGTTAAAACGGCTTCAATAGTAAATAATAGTTTAACTAAACAAGCAAACCACTGATACTTCCCGATGTAAGTTCACAGATCAAAGTGATCGGAACTATCTCACAAATAAACTCATAAGAGCTTTTAATCATTCACACCGGCTGGTCCGGCCCGCTCCGTGATTCAAGCTTTTCTTCTGAATGAAACAGAGTACGCCGACTTTATGTGGGCGAGTGTTTTATTATAATCGAAATATCTCCATCGAGATTGTTTTGCCCGATGGATCGCGTAGAGGAATTTTTCGTCTAGCCTTTTTTCAGTTCGTATTCGTGTTGAATTTACGACAATTGTCCGTGATGGATTACGGTCGATTTTTAGCGGACGGCCCATGTTTTCGTACTGACAAAGTGTCCAAGATGCAAATCAGGTTTGTGCCCTTTTCACACGTTTTTGCAGCGATGAAAAAATCATTGAACATTGCAATTTAGGAGAAATTATGAAATTATCTTTGAAATTTATCTTCTTACAATATTATAATCATTAGATTCGATAGAGAGTTGATGCTCATATTTAACTAAAACAAATAAGGACCTATTTTATTCACAGTTCGAAGCAGTTCGTAGCAATAAAAGTGAAATATTGATTTGAAGCAAAGCAAAAAAAAAAAAACATTTATGACTCCGTGGCGCAGTTGCCAAGGAGTCATAAATGTTTTGGGTGGTTCGATTACCGGTGAGTTCGCCCAGGGCAACTATTTATATTTGTATGTATAACATAGATTAGACAGATTTTTCACATCTGGGTGTTTGTGCACGTGAAACTGTAGTGTGAAAAAATAACGTTATCCTAAAGTAAGGGCAATTTTTTTTTTAAATATAGAAAAATTTTATAAGCGTTTGACTAAAAGAACTGCTGTGCAAACGCAAGTATACGAGTAAGGAAGGTATAACATAAACGCTTTCGTTAACGTTTTAACCGTTATTATATATAGATATTTAAACTTAATTATACGCGAAGCGCGCAGTCACATGTTGAAATTGAGCTCCAGCCGTAATTTGAGGGTGCTCATATCCTGCATCCGGCTGAATGAGCCGCTGCCATTTTGTTTTTTATTTTTTTTTATTAGATGAGGCGTAATGAAAACCGTGCGTATGGAATAACTGCCAGACTCGCTCGAAATAGTGGAAAAGTAAAGCTTTTTGAATCAACATGAAATATTGAGGAGAGTTGTTAATAGGTAGCAATTAGATTCGATCATTTTTATTTTGGTTAAAAAGAATAAGCAGAAAAATTTCCAGGGTAGGGTAAGATTATGATATGACACGTATAATGTTTAAAACTTGACAAGGAAAGATAGCTGTATTTAAAGCCTTTTTTTCTGTATGTCATAAAATAATCAAGCAGGTTGAGAATTGAAGACATAGCCCACGGTGCAGAATCTAATAGTTTAGCGTGTGTAGTAGTACATTGTGTAGTTTGAGTTTGAAATAGATAAAAGTGAAACTATTATTAAGTTTTATTTATTATTAAAGTTTATTAAAATAAATTTTTAAATCGAATCTATTGCAATGCATGTAAATTAATTGGAGGAAGCAATCGGTCAACAGTTTCGTCACTATCACACAATATTTGATTAAAAATGTAAGATGAATTGTTCAATAATGTAGAGAACTTCACTGAAACGCAATACCTAAAACATTTAATAAAATACAACCCAGAACTATAACAAAAATAAAAACATTTACAATTTATCCGGCCAACTACTGCATTGGATTCCAAAACTTTACAGGAAAGCTCTAAGGGAGACGACCAAATAAACAGAAGACAAATCCCGAAGTAAAATCGCTGGAACATTCCAGAAGACGAACAGCGAAATTTCGAACTGCGGAATTATGAGAAGTTTCCGGAATTTCGGTTTAAGCAAGTAGTTAATGTTTCAGGTCCGCACGCGAATAAAATTTAAGTTAAACGTTGACGTTAAGTTGTAACTTTACCAAGGAAGCTTAAATTCGCTCAAGTCAATTAACTGGGGTTCTCGTTTCGGAAGCGCAATTAATTTAATACAGATTGCTTTACCTCCCTTTACTTGTATTGTTTCAGTGCGCGCGTTTAAGTGTTTCAATATGAATCATCATATCGAAAATTTAAGTATCAAATTATAAACTCATCGTAAATATCTTTTGTCTACATCTCTCATTATACTAGCTTAACGACCAATATTTATACGACACCTGTTCGGGACTGGATGGTTGAAATATTAGCAAAGCATCCTGTATTGAGCGGCAGACACCCCTAAGTCTGCCGCTTGGGTCTTTACAATTAGGGGGAATGTTGAGCGCCTTGGCCATTAGCCTGAGCTCTGGTCTCTGGTGGTGGATATTTAGGATGGCAGTTGCCTACCTTAGTTTCGCCACGTCCTCTTTTTGGGTGATAACGTCCTCATCGAATGCGAGGTCAGCACCCCACCCCCTCTCGCTGTCTCCCATAGCACTGAATACGCGGTTTAAGCAAGTTGGCAGTGCCTACCGTAATTCGTGCACAAGTCGAACCCATTCACACGATAGCTCACAGCTCTTAGCATTGCTCCGTCCTGACCACTGATCCATCGCGTGATGTGCCGTCTCCTCGGCTTACACGTCACCGTGGTGGCTTTCCACTCTGCACTCCCTTCTCACCACGCAAAACAGACACCTAGATAAGGTCACGACCTCTATTAATTTCCGTCGTTTAGTCTAGCTAAGACTTGCCCTCTCCTAACGTGGATACCTCATGAATTAAAAACCGTGCCATCGTTACGCAATATACGACCATACCGTGTACATATTTCGACGAAGGGTGATCGAAACAAAAATTTCGCGTTACAATGTGGCCACTTATAAAGCGCAACATAAAACTCGCTCGCATTAAACGTTTCCCATAATTTACGTGAATGAATGTTTCGCGGCGCCACCCGTCTATATGATATCGCAAATGTTGGATATTACACGTACACATTTGCGGTTTCCCAAACAGCCGACGACGTTTGGAATTAAAATTGTGCACGTCGCGTTTCCGACCGTTGTTTTTGTAGTGTGTGCGTATGTTTTTTTTTTATTTCGCCGCGTCTGTTTACGAGACTAACAGAACCATACTGACGTTTTAAAACAACAAAGAAGAGAGGTTTTTTTTGTGGTAACATGAAACAACACGTATAGCGATACTCTGAATCAATTTCCACGATTCTCGCGGCTTAAACGTATGTAATGTGTTTGTGTATAATGTGCTTAAATTTAAATAAAAAAAGAGTTCCTTAATATGCAAGTTGATTAGTATGCAACAGTGTAACTGTTTATATTGTCACCTTGAGACTTTGATGAGGTATTAGATACCTTGATGAAAGCTGTTTATTTATCCTGTTATTGTTAGACTCCATAGCGACGGTTGGGAACTCAAAATGCTGTACTATTTTTTCTTTGTTACTTTTTAACTTTATAGATAGGATCTTTGTCGAAGATATACTGTAATTTTCCCCCATTTAATTCTAACCGTTCACATCAGATTCGACAAACATCACAAATATAAAAAAATCAAACAATTTCACTCCGGCCAATTATAAAATGGCTTTAGAAATTAATTCAATGTCTCACTATCTACAATTTTGCTAAATCAGGTCATGAGAGCACCAGCTTATTTCGCGGAACCATCCCAGATGACACATCCCGCAAAGTTGATATTGCAAAGCCGACGAGGCATTGTTAGCAGTGATCGGTATTATTAATTGGGCATTGAAAATCGGCCGAGAGCAAAGCATAATTTTTTTTATTTTTATTAACGCCATAATTTGTGGTTAGGGAATTTATCAACACTCACCGGGATATCGTTGATGTAAAAAGTCAGGTCGGCTGGGGGTCGACTCGGTCCAGACGAACAATTCGCCCTCAGTATATCCCCGGGCGTGTAGTAATGTTGGCTTGTGTGAATCACTGGAGACGCCGGTGGAAGGACTATGGACAAAATAGAAGGCAATCAATACAACATTTCACATTTTATTCTAACGTATAAACGATAATCGAACTCCCGCTGCCTGGCTTTAGTAGTCTGAAGGCTTGATTGTAGAATGTGTTTGTAGAATAAATAATTGTATCGGTACTGGTATTTCCCTTACTGCGTTATTAACTGTCCTCTGTACGTAATTAACTGTCTGTACTGTCTCTCTACACGTTATTAACTGATTACAAAAATGAGGAGGTTTTCAATACGTTTTTTATCAGAACTCCGTCATTTTGTAACCGATTTTGAAAATTCTTTATGCATTGGTTTCAGTTAAGCTCCCTTATAGTCATATATTTAATTCGATTTCTATTGGACCATAAACTCTGGATATACTCAGTCATATATAATTGAAGTTGGATTTGTTTTTGTAACTAAAATGTTCTTTAATGCATAACAGTATTTACAGCGCAAGATAATATTATCTTATATCGTTTGACTTTGACAGTAACCAAATTAAAAGTTAAAAAGTATATCTCAGTTTGAATCGATTTAGGGTAATCTAAGGGCAATCATGATTTGTCGGGTAGAGTCAAAACATACAACTCATTATTTATATTTCCATCAATGGATGCGTTTATTGTATTGTGTACGGAAGAAATATACAAGTACCTCATTAAATTACCTATGTGATACATCTTGCTCTCTCCGAATTTGTTATGATTTGTTTTGTACTATGCCCTATAAACAGGGTTCATAAAGAACTATTTTACTAATTACCCTAACACCTTTTGTTACTTAATGGATGTGCAATAAATAAATAAATAGCGTATGAAAATTCAGTTAGAAACTTTCCTTACACCAAGCCCTGACCGAAAAGTTTGCTAGCGTTCGTGAGCTCACATTTACGCTTCGAAGTACACGTTATATGCGATGCGGCGCGATATGCTCTAGATAATGTTACGTATGCATTGTGCCGCGAGTCGGGTAGACGACCTTAGCGTTTGAAGTGGTTTTGCGGCGCTGTGCGCGTTTCCAAGGGCGAGGGAGGGCCGTCATTTGCGTTATGAGCCGTCATTCCTACGCACTCGTACGATACTTAGCCTTGCGCCATACGTGTTGGTGTTTCATAATCTTTTCAACCCGATATTTTTTTTTGTTATTGATCTAAAAAAATATCGGGTTCGAACCGGTCCGTTCATGAGCTGTGAGTAGAATCGATCGATATTCCGTACCCACTAGTTATATACTTTGTGATAAAAAGGTGAATTTCTTTATCAACGTTAAGCGCGGAACTTATAAATGACATGAAACAATAATCGACGTATTAATGTACATATATCGAGACAAGGTCAAGTTATTTTTAATTTAATAAAATACGAAATCCGGCATTACAGTTTCCAGTACTTGTTACAATAGATTATTTGGTGAGCTCTAATTTGATATGCTGAGCGAAACTGCTGTGTACGTTATGTACGTCACGCGAAAAGGTCGTTTTGTAACTCCGGGGAAGCGTGAACGGATTAGTTATCCAACTCGCGCTTTAGTGCTACTTATATTTATGATAAGTTTACATTACATTATTTTTCCGAATTTATTTTATTGATTTGTTGTGTGTTGTCAACGCGAATATTATACATTGTTAAATGAAACTATTTTAGGGATTTTATCGCTTTTAATTAGGCTTATAAATTCAAGTCGTTTCAAACCCTTCCTAGCGTTCAAGGTCACTAGACAGACTGACTTGTTTCACGTCTTATTGTCAGAGTTAACTCAGGCTACCATCAATAAATTTATTATTTATTTTTATTACGATCTAAGACAACACCCATCTCAAGAGACCATAAGCTCCTTCTGAGCTATGCTATTTTAAAGTTATTGGCAGTGTCGTATACTTGGATTTAATTTTATAAATTATGGGATAATTTATAAAATTAAGCCAAGCTGATAATAAAAAATGGAAACAATTCGGGAAAAGGAAACTGGACTTATCCTTACTTCCTTACGTGTTGTATGGATGGATGGATGTTTGTTACTCTTTCACGCAAATACTACCGAATGGATTTTAATGAAACTTTACAATAATATAGCTTATACATCAGAATAAGACATAGGCTATAATTTATATACATATTTTATGTACATCTGTCTTTCTGTCTGAATGTTATGCATTCAGTCTGTTCTACGCAGACGTAGTCGCGGACAACAGCTAGTAATTCATATACTAAAAAATCGTTTCTGTATCCACTTACCGACAACTTCCATGTTGTTGGAGACGATTGATGTGGCGAAAGAGGGCGCATCAGCGGTTACCTCACAGCTAAAGTTCCCAGAGAGGCCGAAACTCACTCTTGTCAGTACGACTTGGCTCTGATTCGAGCGGGCCAGCTGTAGCAAATAGGAACGATTAGAATGTTTTCGTCAATTCGAGTGTTATGAATGTTTATTTAATAATCAGTAAAAATTAACAGATTAGTAAAATAACATATACAGGGTATAACCAGATTATATACCTTCACTTTCACATTTGTGTCATTGAGGTCTGGTGGAGAATTGGATCATGAGAGCTTACGAGTGCTTATCTTATTCCAGATTTTACTTTAGAAAGTTTGTTATTTTTTAATTGGAAAAAGGTGTTGTAAAGGGTTGAAAGATATTTATATAAGGGCTTCAAAGCGAGCGAAGCCGCGGGCGAAAAGCTAGTATATTATAAATAAGCTTATGGTGAATGATTGAAATTGGATATCTTCTTATTTATGCAGCTCTGGTTTATAAATTAACCACCGAAAAACCAAACGTATTATTGCGTTTTCAAATATCCCACAGGGAAAGAGGGTAAAATAAGAAAGTTGTTTTTATAAGAAACAAATCCCATCGCACCTAATACGGAAAATAGATTTCTTTCCATTAATCGCACAAGAATTCCCTTAAGGCTTATCGTAACGGGCCAAAAAGCCAAAGCGATAGATTACCCGTTGCTATAGCACCCGCTGTTGTTAACGTCGGCTTAGCTCCGTTTGGAGCAACAGGAGTAAAAGAGCGAGCAAAATGACCCGACGGACTATTATCGTCCGCGGCCGCGGGATAAGACGACGCGAAACAGGAGTGGGAATTTATGAACATCTGCCGCGTGAGTTATTGCCAAGAGCCGGTTGAAATTCACAGCCGAACGGAGAAGCGGCAAGGACCCGGATTGAGGAACACGCCGTGGCCCACAATTGAAATAATATTACTTCTTATTGTGCACCCATGCTGTACCACCTTCCGCGTCACCGCAATAAAAATAAATAATGACTGTTGTTTCTGGATCAAAACTCATTGCAACATTTTTGATTGTTGATTTTGTCTAAATACAGGTGACGTAGATGTGACGTAGATGTGACGTAGACGCCTATGCATCGTTTGGGTTAAAGACTACAGTTTAGTTGATAAAGAAAAAGGGAATTTCCAGTATTATTAATTTATAAATTTATTGATAAAGTAACAGCCTACACATGTCCATTTTTTCCAAGGTATGTGCCTGTAATTTTTTTTTATTTTGACTTTAATATATTATAAGGTCGATGCTGAATTTTATTATTATTTTTGTACTTGTACCGTATTTTTACGCTTTTAACATAGAGTTGCAATTCTAAGTTTCATTGCAGTAACGTACATTATTATATTTTATCAATTTAAACTGTAAAAAGTTTGAATTTATTTAAATAACACTTGAAACATCTTCGAAAACCAGTTATTGATAGTTATCATCATTATTTTAAAATTAATCCTTTTTTCACATTTTTTTGTAAATAATCGTCTCCTCTATCGCATACGTTACTTTCGTGAATATTTAAAAAATCTGTGTTCCGAAATTTTCACTGAAAAAGTCTCCATTTCAGCGGAACGAAGCGGAAACACTTAGCTGCAGTCGCCTTAACATTTGTTACGTCGTTTCAGTGGGATAACAGCCTACACGTTCGGCCTTTATGATCTACGACCCGGCATGCGGCTGTTTGTTGAACATGTTGCTGAATTGACCGTAACCGTTCGCAGGCTCGTAGAAATACTTATATAAAACATATTTCGTTCTGCCCTCAAAGTAACCGTTTTCAGCATTTTGATCTGTCTCTTCGTTCCCGTTGCATTTGATTGCGTACTCGTGTAGCGCGTTCAATTTTTTTTTTTTCAACCGACTTGAAAACCGGAGGAGCTTCTCGAGTCGACTGTATTTTTTATGTTTGTTACCTCAGAACTTGCCCTTAAGTGAACCGATTTTGATGATTCCTTTTTTGTTTGTAAGCTGGTGCGTCCAATGTGGTTGCATATGAATTTAATTGGTATTGGACTTTGGGCTCCGGAGATATTTATGGAACTCCTGAAAATCAATTATAAAATGAATACGGAGCGAAATATTTGAAGTGGGTTTTGTTTTTTATTAATACCACAACGCTAAATAATGTAAGCGTAAATAGAGAATACAATTCAATAACCTTTTTTTTTAATATAACTTTGACATTCCCTAATAAAACAATTTTATTTTTCAGTAAGAGTGAACATTTCTTCCAATTATAGCAACTGCTAAAGTTAGCTTTTTAAGTTAGTCTATTTATGTAACTGAAAATATTCATATATTTTTTAAATAAAAATAAGGATCTACCGAAAACATTAAAAGTTAATGCGAATTTATTTCTGTATCTGTCTTATATTAACTTATATTACTATAAAACTGGGTTTGAAACTCTACTTCTTACAAGTAAAATATTTCCCCTATTAGAGTTTCTAAACTTCGTATCCGCTACATTTGTGTAGAGAAAAGTATAAGTATTTGAGTTTAAGAAAAAAGCGTCTGCTCTACTTATTATTTCTGTGTAAAGTCTCGATTACTTTACAGAAATTTAGTAAACAGGCATAATTATATTTAGGCAAAATATAATTCAAGTTTAATTTCATGTTTTAATCACTAGCCTATCTTTATCTTATTTTGCCAATGGTGTTTAAGAAAAACGTATTTTTTTACAAAACACATTAATGTCAGATATTTGTAAGACGGACTATTAAAAAAATAAAATAACTAAGTTATCGAAAAGCATTATTAAATAATGCAAAAACAGAAAAAAAGAAAATTCAATACGATTGCCATACATACGACCAAAGTCGTAAATAACAGCTAGTAATATTTTTCGTTGGAAAAGCCTTTCCAAATAAGTTTTAGAGAGTTTGTTTACTAGTTCAATGGAACTTAGCAGGGACCCGTACAATAAATTGCACTTAAAGAGACGCAAAGTCAAGTGTTTTATTGCCCCATTACCATTAGTCATAATTTACGTTCCCCACTACACATCTTTTAGAGGCAAACCAAGATCAATACTTTTCCGAACAATAAGTTTTTATCGCTCTATGTACGAGTATTTTATAAAACATAACTCAAAGAAACTAGGTAAGGTATTGGAAAGAAAAGTTATTCTCTTTTCCTTTAAAATATAGTTGAAATATTTTAAAGGTTTTTTTTTAATTTCAATAGCTTACGTTGAACATTCTTGGTCGGCGTTATTCTGCGAGGATTGTAAAAGAAGCGATAAAATCTATAAAATAGTTTCATTTAACCATATATGGTATTCTTATTAATACAAGACATAAATATCTATAATATTGTACGTCATATCTTCCGTATTGCCATGGCAACCAATAACAACTTTTTTACATTTACACATAATAATAATACCGAGTAATTTAATGAAACCGTCATTAATTGAATTTAATGTCTTTTTCAAGAGTACTGGCATAGGGGATGAAATTGAACGTTTTAGATATTTTTCTTTTCTTACGATAAAGAAGTGTAATTTTAAGCGTGCGTACATAAGTACAATCACAATTTTTTCTATAAAGAATTTGTTATAATACCATCTATTTACAATGTCAGACAGGTTAAAGTTATTCTTGAACATGAGATACCTTTCTTTGACAAATACTTATTTGCCCATTATTATATTGTTTTTCTACTATGCGTTAGTTTCGCACCGGTCAACTAGTAATAATTAAACCATCAATCGTCGAATATTATCCTCCATTCCTGTTCATTTAGCAGTGATTAGTTTGCATTTGAAAATTTGCAAATAATTTAAAATCAGTTGCTATAATCAAAAAAACTTATAAAGGAACGTTTGTGTGTGTCAAAGGCTAATAACCTAGTATGAAATTTAATATATAGTACACGTTTGTTATTTTTTTGTCACATTACGTTTAAACAAATTTACCGCTGAGTTTCGTTGAGCAGTTCTTCTCAGGTCCCAAATAAGGGCCGAATTCATTAATTGCTGAATAGAAACGTCAGTGCAAGAAAAGGGCACAACGATAACAATAGTATTTTATTAAATATTATTGTTTCAGTGCGTCGAAGCGGGAGCTCTCGGTTAAATTATAAAATGAAGCAGATTAATTAACTCACTTTCGAGGCCTTCAACTTCAGATTGGTTCCAATCGATGTATGTTTAACAAATTTCAAAAGGTTTACTCTCTTACATTTATGATTAAAAGCTCAAATTTTGCTTGAGTTCATTATAATAATGACAGAAATGTGACACAAATTGTTTACATTGTTTTAGTGATTAATGATTTCATTGTAAACTTAAGGTCAAAGGTTCATTAAAAGTATGAAAAAGATTCATCCTATATGGTGTCGAGCAAAGTTTACCACTTGGTTGGTTTCGTTTTTTTTATCATTTGACATATTTTTAATAGCTAACACTCCGTTTACGTAACGTCTACTAACGATTTACTTATCGCATATAAAATTGTAGATTTTACAGTTCATTCAAATCCTAATTAATAGCTATATACATTTCAAATCCTAATTAATACAATAAACGACCCGAATCGCCGATGATACAAGAATTTCGTGACAATTGAATACCTGTTATCAGGGCTAGGAACATTGGGTCACGATAAATAAGTGAATTACTCGTTGATTGACTCAAGAGATGTAATCTAACCCTTCTTGCCTTCCACGCTATTAAATTTATCTAAACTAGCGTGTTATTTTGTTTTACCCAATATGCACTTTATTCGATTGAAACGGTGTATACTTCGTAGTAATCAAGGAAACGTTATGTTTCTGTTTAATTTTAATAATGTTGCTGAATATTTATAGCAGAATATTAAATGTCATTAACTTCTGCATGCACAAGCATATAAAATGTAGAACGCACTTCCGTTTAGATTTCAAAAGGGGACAAGATTTTTTTACGTAATTAGTGAAAGGAGAAACAGGAGGCAGCCTGAGTGAAGTTACCTCCTTCACAGTCACAATAATCAATTAAATAGCTATTTAACGATCGTTCCAACCGCTTCATTTTCATATTTTGAAACGGTACGTTTCTAAAGGATATTCTCTATGAATTTAATCAATTGACAATTTCCGAGAATATTGTAAATAATGGAAAGAAAGATAAATCACCTGCAGAATCCCACCCATTTTGAATGGTGAAACGAATTGAGGGCTAGGTAACATTATTGAAGATTTTTAATACCAGGCAGATTTTAAAGTTTTTCTTTATAGTGCTGATCTCTGCACTTAAGATTGAACATTAAAACATGTAGAAAAGGTAGGAAAAGATTGTCGCCGCTGTGGGAATCGAACCCACGTCTTCGGCATTCGCGGACGCCTGACGCTCTAGCCACTGAGCTAAACGGCTGATAGCCACAGCGACGAAAATCTTAACGCCTTCTTTCTACAGTGTTATTAAGCATTTGAAGCAATGCTTGGTGCATCTATTGTTTTATCCTTTCCAGCACACAAACAATTTCGAATATCGTTTTACAACGATAATTCAAACGAGAGATGTCGCCATTGCGTTTGTCATTTGTAAAAAACATAGTTAATTTGTACCATTAATATCATGATGGAACTTCATTTTTTTATATTGATTTCCAATTACATGTAGATTTGGTAACAAACAAGTGCATTTCTTATTTATCACAAATGTCCACTGAGTACAAAAAAGTGAAAACGAAAAGCTAACGGCTAACTACTTCATAAGGCGCACCAAAATATGAGTTACATTACATTATGTACTAATTTTATGTGAGATAGTGGCTAGTGAGCTGGCGGTTGCTAATCCGTGGCCACTTTTTTAATAAAGTGGGCTCCAGTTACCACACTCACCAGACGAAACGTAGTATAACTCTTCCGCTTCATCATCATATCAGCCGTAAGACGTACACTGCTGAACAAGGGCCTCCCCTATTGACTTCAACTTCACACCGGTTTAAACAGCAGAACAACAGCACATACTGCTACGTGCCGCTACCACTATAATTAGGCACTACACTATATTTACAGGCTTAAATTGCAATATCTAGTTGTTCTGGTTCTATAATCTGGTTTCAGAGATGAAACACGCAAATGCTTTATGTTCTGCACGCGATTGTCTAAACGCTATACTCGTATTTCAGATAACTATATTTATAGTTGGGGAGGACATACAATATGTCATATATATTTCGTACAACTTCGCCGTGCTCAAACTTTTTATATGTTTATTATGCGGTTAGCGTAAGGCAAACTTTATCGTGGTGCGCTCTGCTCTTTTTCAGCTGAGGCAATCGCTTTTACGATATATGCCACGGGAGCGCGAGTTTCGTTATAACTCAGTATAATAATAGCAACAATATGTCAAATGCATGCCGTGGTGTTCTTGTCTTGAGTTTTTGCTCGGGTACGTAAGCCCTCATAAATCCAATTCATTTAAATATAACGGAGTAAGCTTGTGACTTATGTAAACGCAGACATTCAAGAGTTAACTTTCTTGTATTAGATCTCATCGAAATCATATTTATGAAAAATATTCTTATACCATTCCATTAAGCGGTTCCGCAAAAAAGTCTACATTTTCATACTTAACATCAAAATTTTACGGTGGTAGGGTCACGCAGCAGCCTCGGCTGTTGCACGAATGGGCAGGCCCGTCCGGGTAAGTACCACGACCTCACAGAAGACTAGCGTAAAGTGGAAGTATGACAAATACTTTCGCGTTTCGTCTGGTGAGTGAGGTAGCCGGAGCCCAATTTTCAAAAGGTTGTCAACGCATCTGCAACACTCGGGTGTAGCAGATGTCCATGGGCGGCGGTATTCGCTTAACATCAGGTGACCCATCTGCTCGTTTGGCAACTTTTCGCATAAAAAAAAAACATACTTAAGTCTATCTAGTAGAGATTTCACAAGCGTATTTGTATGAACTTGAGCAATAAATATCACTGCTTAAACATACGAAACAAGTTTATTAGTACACAAGTTCTGAAAACTTCAAAATTCTTACCGTAGACCGCCAGGTTTCTGAAACACTGATCATCGTAGAAGTTAGCTAATCAGCTGTTAAATGGATTTTCAAATGTTATTTGAGTTGCTAAAACGATTGTTAACACTTTGAATTGATCGTTCTCATGATTAAGAATCATATATCATTCTGATAACATTTGAAAATCCATTTGACAGCTGATTAGTTGAGTTCTACGATGTTCAGTGTTTCAGAAACCTGGCGGTCTACGGTAAGAATTTTGAAGTTTTCAGAACTTGTGTACTAATAAACTTGTTTCGTACGTTTAAGCAGTGATATTTATTGCTCAAGTTCATACAAATACGCTTGTGAAATCTCTACTAGATAGACTTAAGTATGTTTTCTCCTTCGATCGGCAACAAATCAAACAGCTTACGCCCGGTTCCTATATTCAACGAACGGCCGTTAGTTGCATAGGCATTATGAAGTCGTTACAACGAGTCGTTATGAAACTTACGAAGTTATGTAACTAACGGACGTTCGTTGAATATAGGGACCGGGCATTAGAAGGCGAATTGATCCCAAACTCACGTCAACGTTGATGCCGGCGAACGGGAATATCTTGGTGGCCGGCTGCTCGGTGGGCGAGTAGCGGTAGAACTCGTGCCTGCCCCTGTACCACTTGACGGAGTAGAGCGGGGCGTCCGTCAGCTCGTAGAGGCAGGCGAGGGTCGCGTCGGAACCGCGCTGCACTACCGGCGGCGAGATCCTCAGCTCCGTGGCCCGCAGGCCGCCGATACCTTCGTCAAAAAGTGTGTAATTCCGCACTCACGTAAGAAGTTATACTTCTTAAGCGTAACAAAAGAGAGATAATACTCTTCAATACTCTTTGTTGTGACAAAGACGTTGAGTGCAAAATGAATAAATAAATAAATGTCAGAAAAGTTGTTATTACTTGTCATGGTAATACCGTGCGTGAACCTGTTCGCAATGCAATGAACTTCATCATATTGTTTCGGGTGTCGGTGTCCGCACGCATCGTAAAAATTTCACTTTCATATTTTTTTTCTAAACACGCCAAAACAAGTATAACTACTGAAAAAAAAAACTACTGGCAGATAACGTACAGCTACAACTGGATTGCATCACACAAGATTTTTTGCACAACTTCCTCATTAACGTAGATTAACTTTTCCAACAAATTCAAGGATTAGAACATAAGTTGCTCGAGTACTATGAAATCGAATACGGGGACTGGGCGACTTTGCCTCTTCAACGGAATGTTATTACTTTCCAAAGCCGTTTCCTGGTATAACGCCACTTCATTTGCAATAAATTTGCACAATAGGCCATCCAACCTCTGTTCATATTCATGATCGAATGTTGCAGCGAACACTGCGAGTATATACTGAGGCGTCACAAGCCGGATACGGGAAAAATGGACATCGATTCGAAAGCAACAAAACGTGAAGTTCAAAATTCATCGTTTCGTCAGATGAACAATAGGAGATACTTACTCGTCAGAACAAGTAAGTACCAATCGTCTGTGGTAGGCTTTTTTAATACTTGCCTAAGAATTTTTATTCGTAACTATTCTATACCACCCAATATACTTAACCAGCACCGAAACTTGAGGTCGTATGTCTGTCTGAAAGGGTTAACATTTTGTAATATTTCGGATGTTCTCAGGTTTCACAGATGATCTTTAACATCACGGATACTGGGGTTCCGAGAATTTAATTATTCAGTACTATTAAGAAGTGAAACTCTTCGAGGTAGCCTGTTTTGTTACTTTATCTACAGCTTATTCTAAATTTACTACGTTTTCATACTCCCTAGTGTTCGGGAGTATAATCAGGTGTTGAAAATAAAATGCTTAGAAAGATGTTAACGACTTCTATCTTAACTATACACTAAAGGTTAAAAGAAGGTCAATGACATACGAGTGTCAAAATTTCAATGAGGACTTGGTGCTATGACAAATTTAGCAGGCGTTTATAAATAAATTAAAAGTTGGTATAATTTCTGAACACGAAGAAATAAAACAGATGATTAAATATACACAGGTAAATCAATTATTCCACAATCACGACTAATATTACCCAACGATATTAAACTTACACCGTAAAAGCAGACAGAGATTAGGTTCGTGATAGTCTTTGATATATGGTCGCAGGGAAATGAAAATGTCATAACTACCTGATGTACCTTCTAGTGGTGCTATGGATTTTCAAGTAGCTCCCTCTAAAACTTCGAATATTTATACACGTCAAGTGCTCTTGCGTATATGATATATTGCGTTTAAACATGTTCCGCTTCTCAGCGACAGGAAATCCAAATAACTCAAATATTCGTCCAAGAGTAACTTAGCTAAAGCTGTTATTTGCGACGCGAATAGGTTCTATTAAAATGTGTATGTAGCCCTTGGATATTATTATAAATCGATATCGTGAGCCAAATATGCAAAATATACAAATTCGTAATAATCGACAACACATTATCACAATGATATATTTTATTTAGGCAAATGATATACATGGATGGTGTTTCGATGCCTATCACTACATAGTATAAAACAAAGTCGTCCCGCTGTCTGTCTGTCCCTATGTATACTTAGATCTTTAACACCAAGCAAAGGATTTTGATGCGGTTTTTTTACTAGTCATTCGAGAGGAAGGTTTATATGTATAATACATTGCAACCGTGCGAAGCCGGGGTGGGTCGCTAGTTAATAATAAAAAAAATCCTCACTTTTATTAAAAATTTTTGTTGACATCACTCCATCGAATTTAATCCTTGTTATAAGGCCCGCACGAAATAGAGCATAATGAAGTCGGACATTTCTCCCTATTAGATACTTAATTCCTTTTTAGATTGACAAGTTAAGGCGCAAATTGACTAAGGGGAATGTAAAGTTCGTGCAAAGCTTTCCAAACTAAAAGCGTACTAAAACTGGAAGGTAAATTTTCTCACGTAGAAAGTTAGTCCGTAAGAATTTCCCTTTGTTTCGTGCCCATTTATTTTGTTAACTGAAGAGTTGTGATAGCAATACACGATTCGGGATTGGAAATGTTGAAGAAAAAGTTTTAATCTAATGCGCCTTACGTAGATATAAATACGTATTGTATTTTGTAAAACTGTATTACAACGTTTTGACATTATAACCTACTTAATTTACATACCAAGCATTCATAATCGCAACTTGATTTTAAATTTATTATGTTTAGTCAATGATGTTTTAATAATGCCGAACCCTGTCCACAATGCGTGGCATTTAAAAATTGTTCCGCTTTACATTATATGACATACATAAGTGAATGTGACAGATGATATGTGGATATTATATAGAACGTATGGTATGGAAAGAGATAGCAGTCTACAGAATTGCAATCTAATTACACCCATTGGCGTAATTTGAGTGCCTCAGTCCGGTGCGCTAGTGTCATATCTCGTATTTGTATACAATATCATTGTATTTAATAATAAACAAAATAAGGGTGTAAGTCATTAAAAACTAATGAAAAAGTAATAATTAATATTTTAAATTCTTCTAAGTCATATTTTAAAATAGCTAAACAGCTAAACCACGACTTAATATCCCGTTCATCATCATCTCCAATGGAGGCGATTAATCTCGTTGAAGTTTATGCAAACAGTTTCGAATTTTTCAATTGTGTCAAAACTAAAACAATTTTGCATTGCCATGAAGCCGGGTATTAAACTTTCGCATGCGGATCCTGAATATAAAGTAAACAGCCGGGGAGGTAAAGAAATCCCCCGCTAGAGAAAACTAAACCGACTAAAGTTGGGTTTACTTGGACTTTTGCCGACAAAACATCATATAATTGCAAATTTCATTCTTATCCGAATCAAAGTCCCGTAAAAATGGCATTACCAGACAGATAAACCCCGGAATAGCAATGTCCCAAGCGTTAGTACCGTTATCAAACTGTGACTCGGCTGCTATTCTAAGTTATTGGAAATCTACGCAAAGAACGCTGAGAATAAATCCTTACGGAGTCTTTTATTATGATTTAATTAATTTTTCATTCGTTAATAAAATATTTGAATAACGTAGAATAGCATTCCGGTTTTAAATGAACCATTTCTAGACCGGAACATGATCTACGGATATTGGTGATGTGTTAAGTATAGCGATGATGGGGTAAAGAAAAACTGAAGTTAGTTATGGTTTATAAGGAAAAAAAAGTGGGCAATAGACCAGAAGGTTAGTGAATAGGGCTTTGGTGTATTCATATTCGTATCCTTGCCTTTTAAAATTATTTGATATTTAATTTTTAACATTGTTCATGTTATTTGAAGACTATTTTTTATATAATCTGAGTATATAAGTTTATGTACAAATAGAACATTTTTATTATATTTACTTATTACCCTCATAACAACACATTAAGTGTGACATTAAATGTGGTATCAATGCAATATGTCTCGTAGCGACAAAGTTTTTATAGCGAAATATTCTGGAATTATTTGCTCTGATCCTGAAGCGGAGCTTAACAAAGTGTTGTATATTTATTTCGTAATGTTTGTGCTTTTAGTCTTTTGAATTATTGACGTTTCCTGTGAATTTCGTGTTCACTATTATAGAATGTACATATATTTGTAACTGTCTATTAATTTTGCATATAAAACTGTATAAAATGTGTAATTCAGTCTGTAAACCAAATAAATAGACAAGTGCGAGTCGGACTCGTCCACTAAGGGTTCCGTACCATCTATAAAAACGGCTATCATGTGTGTTGTATGTGAGCCCCACTTAAATATTTTTTATCCTGTTTTTCAGTATTTTTATAGCAGCAACAGAAACAAAAAACTGTATAAAATGTATCATTCAGTCTGTAAACCAAATAAATAGACAAGTGCGAGTCGGACTCGTCCACTAAGGATTCCGTACCATCTATAAAAACGGCTATGATGTCTGTTGTATGTGAGCCCCACTTAAATATTTTTTATCCTGTTTTTCAGTATTTTTTATAGCAGCAACAGAATTACATCATCTGTAAAAATGTTAACTGTCTACCTATCACCGTTAACGAGATATAGCCTGGCGACAGACGGAAAGATAGACAGACAGCGGAGACTTAGTAATTGGGTACCGTTTTACCCTTTGGGTACGGAACCCTAAAAAAGACTTTTATATTCCACGAAAAAATTAAACAGTAGCTTATTGTTCCCTTCCTTCTCTATGTAAAGTGATATGGTTTTGGTGCTTTTGGTGGTTTCATCAAAACACAAAACTTAAGATTCGCATATAGTAATGTTGAAACTTACACGACCCCTTTGTCAAATTTCAAATTACTCTTTTAACTCACCCACGACATCGAGTCTCGCTGAGGCGGTGTAGTGCGGGAAAGTGTGCGCGTTTTGGATGACTTCGCAGCTGTAGTTGCCGCTGAGGTTTGGCGTTACGCGCAGAAGCACCACGTGTGTTTCGTTCGAGTTGAGCCTCTGTGGAATGCGAGTATACTGTAGCAACTGGTACTGTGAAGGCAACTGTTATATCCCTACTGGATTAAAATACACGTTGACGTGGCGATTAAAAAGTTTTCTATTCGTTTATCAGCTATATTCTGTAATGAGGAACTGCAGATTAGATAAGTTGCGTATTGATGTTTGATATTCCTTATAAGATTTTTTTACGATGTTCCAACGTAGTTATGTGGATGTAACACGATAGAAACTGTGGTAGGGCCACGCAACAGCTTCGGTTGTTGCACGAATGGGTAGATCCGTCCGGGTGAGTATCACGACTTCACAGAACCGGCGTGAAGTGGCTGAGTCACACTTCTGCGTTTCGTGGTAACGCATCTGCAACCCTACAAGTGTTGCAAATGTCTACGGGCACCGGTTATTACTAAACACCAGGTGAAACGCCAGCTCGCTTGCCTCCTTCTCAGCTAAAAAAAATAAATGAATTGAATCAAAATATACTCACGTCAACTTTGATCCCGTTTACAGGAGTTACTCTGGTGGTTGGGGACTCTAGCGGCGTGTACCTGTAGAACTCCTGCGTTCCTTTGTACCATTGTAAGGAGTAGATTTCGCTGTCGTGTATTTGATGGATGCAGGCCATAGTCACGTTCCTGCCGCGCTGCACCACCCGCGGCGTGATGCGCAACTCCATAGTTTTGAAGCCTCCCGCTTCTGTCGACAAATCAATAAGCCACGTGAGAATACAGTACACAAGAAATAATAGGCAGCATGTATCGAGTGGCAGCTTCGACTATATCATGAATTAGAAGTAAGAAAATAATCAAACTCTAGATAACTTGTAACTAAAAATAAAAAATTAAAGTCACATATTCACTGCTGGGCTAAGGCCTCCTGTGCGAAAAGTGCCGGAATTTAAGAAATAAAAGATTAACGTGGTGAAGGCGTATAATGTGAAAACGTAATGAATCTAACTAACATAGGTCGGTAGTCAGAAAAACATAACGTCTATTTACTTCACATAAAGTTACAATAATTACTCTAATGCGCGTAAGTGTTTGCTACTAAATTACGACAGGCGTTAACACCTCCCCTCACAGAGAGCATAGTCACCAACGATTCCTTACGGTGTTTTCTTTTACCGCTGAGCATATGACAAGTCGGCACTTAAAAATAAAATTAACAATTTAATCATTTATTAAAAACACTCGCTGAACTCTCAGCTATCACTACTTTACTAGAAATGTATATGTATAAAATAAACCTTTATAAATATGACTGTGAGTTTAGAATCTTTTGTATTGACTTTTTCATCTTCAAATGCTTTCTTTATAATTTAAACGTCAAATTATTTTCCCACGAGAAAAGAACCCAAGCCCGTGATTTCAGCTTTCGTTTCCGCGCCAACCGAGCCTTCATTACATTAGTTTTTATTAACATACGTATTAACATATCGAATCAGCTTCCTCTCATCCTGCAAATTTTCCACCGTTGAAATAATATTCCTATATTTTAAATCTCATAACCTCATGCATCACAATGGCTTCGAAATTATATTTTCCGTATCGAGCGAGCGCGAGCGTCGGAGCTTAAAGCGTTGAATATGGATTAAAAGCAAAAAAAAAAAATGTAACGCTACGAACACATACGCGAGATCCATGTCTGGAAACTAATACTTACGATGTGTTAAAAATTTGCATCGCGATGTTACTTTCCGTTGGAAAGCTTGCGCTGATTAAAAGTAAATTTCCTTTAGAAATTTAGAAGTTTAGAAAATTTTCTTGTCAAAAGTGAGCACAGTTATTTTTGCTCAAATTGCGTGGATTCACGGAACCGAAGATAAGAGCTAATGGAGTGTTTGAAGTATATGACGACCCGATTGGCGTAGTGGGTAGTGCCTCTTGGTCCAGAGGGTATGGGTTCGATCCGCAGTACTGGAAAAATGTTATGTGAGGGCATTTTTCATTGGACTGTAAATGATGATCTGAAATATATAATTCAAGTATATAACTTTTTTTTTATACTAAGAATGTATATAATAAATATGATATCTAAGGGATATAATATCTATTTTACAGAGAAGGTTGATATGAAAATGGTGCAAACGCTAATCAATACATAGCTTTTAACTTAAAATCACTTTTATAATGTAAATTATTAAATATTATAGATGTATAAACACCCAGACACTACAAATGCGCCATGTTGATCACACAATATTTATCCAGTAGTGAGAATCGAGTCTACATCCTCTGGCGCCATATAGGTCCTCTATCCAATTCGCTAGTCGAGTTGTAAAAAATATTTATAGTAAATGATAAGTATCTGTAAAAATCCTAATAAAACGAATACCATGTTATAAAATAAAACAGGTATCAAATATACGAGTAAATAAGAGAGTTCTCTTCATTCACATTGTGTATGTACTAGCTGTGCCCGCGACTTCGTCCGCGTGGAATTTAAAATAAATAAAGTGTCTAAAATAACAGCAGCCTCAGTTATTCCTTATTATATCAGCTATCTGCCAGTGAAAGTCCCATCAAAATCGGTGCCCCTGTTTAAGAAGTTAGCCGGAACAAATAGACAGACAGACAAAATTTTAAAAAGATTATAATTTTGGTATATGTATCGTGTATACATCCATACGCATTTAGTAAAAAGCGGTTATTTTACAAATATTAGCAGACATTACAATTTTATTTATCCGTATAGATTGCAATACAAAATCACCCGTGAATTGAATGAAACGAAATCCCCGAAATTATGGGAGATATTGCCCTCGCAACTCACCAGACCTCTACTTCCTAGGATAAATCCATAGTAAATTTAATAACAGACGTCGCAATACCGCTCCCCTAAAGAGAATAAAATAAACAGACCCAAATAAATCCCTTACTAAACATCCCTAACTCGGCGGCCGACAATACGACGATAAACGTAAGTTTATATCTGAACTCTTGCCCGCTTTCTTATTGCCATTGCTGGGGTGCACCTGCTACGCGCTCGGCAATATTTTCCCGCCATCTTAGATGTTTTTTTTTTTCTATTTCGACACCGTGCTGCCAGGAGCAAGTTGTGCTCTTCGACAGTTTGAGATTTTTATAGATGATATAGTAAATTACGGTAGCGAATATGTCGTTTATTGCAACGGAAATCGATATTGAAAAATTCGTCGCGTATTGTACGTAGAAGTTATGTATGACACAACTATGTTGTAATTTTTCTTTATAGTACTAATCTCCGCACTTAAGATGATGATTGATTGATCCGGAAGACGGAGGTTTGATGTTGACAACTGCGAAAAACTATTCGTCTTATCCGCTACAAATTTAAGTATGTAGTAACTTTTTTTAGTTACTTATTTCTGAGTTGCATGCGTATTTACAGATAATATAATTGATAGTTGATTTGTTTTGTACTAAATTTTTCGTGAAAATGAATGAGTTCAGCCACACGAGGGCAGTTGCAAAGCGATAAATTTATGTTCCGTTGGACTGTGAATTAAACGAACGCTTGAGATAATTATTCTGCTGGAATAATAGTTCATACGAGAACATGGAGTGGTGTGGATGTGTAAAATTATAATTGTATTTATATTATGCTGCTGGTTGAATTTGATTATTTTTCCATTTCTGGATAATGCTATTACATGAATAAACATAACACAGTATTTTTTGAAACAAACGGAATCGTTGATGCACATTAACTATACGATAAAATTAACTGATGCATTAAGTATATACAGGTTCCTTGTATATATACATGTAGATATCATAATATTAAAGAAAAGTAAATTAACATCCTATATATGTCCCACTGCTGGGCAACGGCCTCCTGTCTACCTCTACCACCACGCGACCCCACTGCGGATTGGCGGACTGCACATAATGTCTCCAAAATATATTTTTTGTTATTATTTCGAAAACATGTAGGTTTCCTCATATTAATTATAATTCAGCACTTAAAATTAATAATTTCATTGGTACCGGCACAGGGATTGGAACTCGGGTTGCTGGAGTATATTAAATTAAAAGCGAATTAAAATATAAATGATAGAGTAAGAAAAAAAAAATAAAAAAATAATAAGAAAAAAATAAATAAATATAAAATAAAAAGATAGAGTATAACATTTTATTAATGACATTTTATTGACGGTGTGCTTTTTGCGCAAACGAAAGCTAATTGAGGCACGCAAATCAGAGGAATGTTTTTAAAGACGCTATCGAACATTATAATGTTAAAACTCACGCCAAGACCGTATCTCGAAGCTTCGAGTAAGCTCTTCTAAATATAAAGGGATAAATGGATTGTTACATCTTATTTGTGAGTTAAGAGGCGATCTCGTCATTTTATTTTTATCGGTCTCGGACTAGAATAAGCGTGCTCATTTGTTACTTTCCATTAAATTATGAACAGTCATGAGTTTAACGGATGAAAGGCAGCGTCGTTGTGGGACGGGAGAACCATATCATTTGAAGTTATGTCGCTAAGTTTATTTTTTGGTCCGTAAAAAGTGTAGAAAGGGAATGGAGACAGTGTTTTGTGTTTACATAGTTTCCCTTCACATATCAGGTTATATAATTCATTTTTGTGCTGTTTAGAATTAAATGTGAGTGCGTACGTCTTAATTATTCGGAAATATCAAAGAGTCTGAAAGAACATAGTAAACTACATACACAGTTGTTAATAGTTTTGAGAACGTACTAGGTAATATAACACATTAGCATGTCAGCACTGCACTTAGAAAAGAAAACGAATTCTTCGGTATTTTAAAGCGCAGAAACCGTCGTCTACTGTCTTCTATATTAGTTCCACAAATGCAGTAATTGTTACGGGTTTATACTTGATTTCATGTGGATGTCTATTTGACGCTAACTTAGCGGTAAACACCTGGCTTACCCTTGGTAATAATGGGGTCCAACCGCGAGTTAAAGAAATTATTCAAGTGCTCACTGAAGTGCCAATCTTTGTGAACAAATAGCGTCTCATTTAGCGTCACTCATTAATACATAATACATAATATTTTTTTAATTAGGCTCTGTTTTTAAAGGTGCCTAAGTCAAAGGTATGAAAATATCAACGGCCATTGCTAATCCACCATCTTGTATGTATGGAGTATGAAGTTATATTTTGTCGCGATGCATCTTCACGTCTGGTGGTTCACCTGATATTAAGTGATAACCGCCGCCCATTAACATTTGCAACACGGATATCACATTTTCTTTCGGGGTCGGTAAGCCCAGGTTCCCTTTTCTGTACTCAAGGCACCATAATAGAAATGTTATACTACACATCCGTCAAAGAGTATTTTTTTTTATATGAAAAGTTGCCAAACGAGCAGACGGTTCACCTGATGTTAAGAGAGTACCGCCGCCCATAGAGATCTGCTACACCGGAGGGTTTGCAGATGCGTTGACCTTTTAGGAAATTGGGCTCCGGGTACCTTACTCAGCAGACGAAACGCGAAATTATTATACTTCCACTTTACCCCGGTCTTCTGTGAGGTCGTGGGACTTACCCGGACGAGCCTGCCCATTCGTGCAACAGCCGAGGCTGATGCGTGGCCCTACCACCGTAAAATGTTTATATATTTTATCTTTGTTTTATTTATATCTTTGTTCGTTCTTCGAGAACAGTACTTTTCTGGATGAAAGCAACATCCTTTTCTGTACCCTTAATGCCGAGTAGTTAAGTAGGCATTAAAGCATAACAAGCAAAAAAACGAACCCACTAAATGCTTACACGTCTTCTTGCATTTCATATGAACAAACATTTAATTATTGTACCAGTATTACCAGTATAAGTATTTAAGTCAAATTCAAAATGTCTTTATTCCATGTTGGCTTATTTTAAGTTCTTATTGAACATGAAAAACTACCATCAATTCACAAAACTAGACCTGCCAGAGAAGAACCGGCAAGAAACTCTACGGTCTTATCCTTTCTTTTTCTTGAAAATATGCAAGCAACATATATACATGTGTATACGCTAGTATTCTATAATAAATTTCTATGAATAAACTATGTACCGTGTAATTTTTTACACTGCCACTTTCATACTTATTATATTTCTCACGGATGTATTTAATCTTTGAATTTGAAGTATAATTGAAAAAAATACATTTGAAATTAAAGCAGTTCCTCATTTGAGAA